ATCGCCTGAGCGGTTTTGTCGCGCGATCAGAGCGATCCGCACGAGCGACCCGTTGGCGTCGATCGCTACGTGCGCTCAGAGCGACTAAATCGCGAAGTACGAAAGCAATTGAAGGCATCTCGAACGTTAGTGCTGTTCCCGTGTTGGAGCATCCTGAAATCATTGAAAGGAGACCCTCGGATGGAGACAAAAATTCCTTTTTTGGTTGGCTCTGAAGAATTAGGAAGTGTGGTGGGTCGTGATACAGGGTTTTAGAGTAGAGTGTAGACAGCCTGTCAGGGGAAATCCCTGCTGCACATGTTATCCCAGCAAAAAGAGTAAACGCTACTTTGGGTCAGATTCAAAGGTGGACTTACTATTGAATGGAGCATTCCATCATGGACATTTCTCGAAACTGTATGACTAGGTGCAATAGCTTCCAGCTGACTAGGGCTGACGTTTTGGAATGGTTCCAGCACTTCAGTCAGTAGGGTCAACCACCGTTCTACTAACGTTAGATGCTCTGCATCCAACGCACGAGGACATCTGCCTGTCTGAAATCGGACGAATTGATCAGTAGAACAGCCGCAGGAAACCTGATTCTCAACTATCAAGTAAGAAAGGAAGTGGAGAAGTATACGCAAAGGTTCCCAAGGAAAGTTGAAGTTAAGTGTGGCAGAAATACCAGTCCGGCCTGGTTTTTGGAGAGTGCTCTTTGGCGCTAGATGGCTGTGTTCGCAGAAACTTCGTAGAAGTTTATCAAGGGTCGGGGTCTCTAACCTTTTCTATACAAAATTCTTGTAGAACCTTATGAATCCTTCTCGGTTCTTTCGCCGGGGAGACGGGCAAGAGAATCGTGATTCGCCGCTCCGCCGCGCGCGGCGATAGGCGCGGCGTTTTCTACGCTGTCCGATTGACACGGACTTCATTTAGACCCCCGTCATCGTAGACATTCGTGACTATTTTGGATTCCAAATAGCCTGTTGTCGCCACCCATTGCCTGGAACCATCGTCGTTTGCGGGCGCGACGTCGCACGCGACCCCACAACTACGCTTCTCTTGTAATAGTACCCTTTCCCGACCCCTTTCGACGATCAGCCGCAATGTTGAACCTCTGGACTGAGTCGAATTACGAGGCCTCACCTTACTGAGAGCCAAACAGAAAGGCACTTCTACCAGGGAGTTCCAATTTCTGGGAAGAGTCATGTAGTAACCAAGTCGCATGGAAGCTTGTGCTCCGGCTTGTAAAATGAGGCAGGTGTTACGATGTATTCCATTCACCCTGAAATTCTTCAATGAGACGATATATAGCTTCTCATGGTCAGTAGCTGAATCCTCTGAGCAATTTCCTGATATGATAGGTTATCAATACGGTACAATAAAAAGGATAAAGTCTTCGCCGTTGATCAATCCCTTTGTGGGATGCGGCACGCATTCTACTTCCATTCAGAATCGTAGTGGCTTATTGAATGCGATGTGGCCTATACAATGACTTGCGGGGCCAGCCGATGTACAAGTCAGTGTTTTATCCTCCCAGACGAATCTGGTACCAATTTACCGTCCCCGGAGGGTAGAAGGCTTGGTTGGCCTGGGCGGGAGTCGACCCGGGATTTGAACCCAGGACCGCGCGAGTGGCAAAGTGGCGCGCTAGTGGTAAGCGCGCCACTTGTCACGACCTACCACCGCCTCCAATACACGATAGTAGTCGAAATGCCGTACATAAAAACGAATAAGGTGAGAACAATGAGTTAGGCAACGCCAGTGCTAATATCGTTCAACAATCAATGCCATGCAGGCGCATTCCGCGCTAATCGGATGGGCGGAGGCTCGTACCTATCCTTTCTCTCTCATTGGTGTGGCCCTCCCTTTCACATCATCATAACCAGGGGTGCACCAGTGTGGACGACAGTTTGTGAATAACGCCCACTTCTCCCCAATCTGGGCATCACGGAAATCGCCTTGAAAGAGAAAGTTAGTTCCCAAGCCTTGAGCCTAAATTTCTAATGCCGTCTATGGAAGAAAGGTTCCACTCACTGTACTATCCGATCGATGCTGCTCATTATAGAAGTACAGCGTCTGAGTATCTTGCTGCTCCTGACAACGTCATCAGGAAAATCGAAGAGAATCTGATTGATTCGAGGACACGTCTGATTTGCCAGAGTGGGCATTACAATAGGCTCGTCGTTAGCCCTGTAAAGGCTCGACTATTACGGAGGAATACGACGTGAAAAAGCCTCGGACCGGGGAAATCCATTGCCAGTTGGTATGAGTGCTCGACATGTGAGACGTTACATCCATGTTGCATCCGCGAGCAAGCAGCTTGGGGGACCTAACTCATTTTGCGTGAAAGTGTAGTAATATTGAGTGAACTAGTTAAGAAATACCGGCTTGTCAGCCTTGTTCGCTGTGGATATTGGGGCAGAAGGACCGGTTTTCGCACCCGTTGGCAACCCGCCCTCCAGCAATTGTGGAAGCTGCCAAGCGACCACAATTGGTGGCGCTACGCCAAACTCAGCCCCGCCCCAGCATCCGCAGCGAACAAGGCTGTAAGCCGCGCAGCACGATTGTAACGTCTGGCACCCTTGGTGACTAAAATAACTCACGGACAAGGTAAGGTGGGCAGAAAGGCAAGTGAAAGAGGGCTCTGAAGGAACGAGCTCATCTCAGTCGAGTGATGACAGAGTGAAATGATCTATTACTGCTTACCTCTTCTGTATATGAAAACATTGAAAATATACTTTTTTCGTAAACATGAAAATCATTCTGCATTTTGGTATGCTGGACAGTCGAACCCATCAAATTGTTCTCTTCCGCAGTGAGGGAGGGAAGTTGTTCTTGAGAGCGGTCGCTAAAGCTCTAGGACACAGCACTCATTCTGAAAGGCACAATGAAGAGGGTTCCATTCGGCAGCGGAGAAAGCGCGTCATCAAAAAATGTTCCGCGGTGCGAGGAAAACTTCCATTGGTCAGGGTTTTTCTGTTCAACGTGCGCAACCCCGGGTGATTCTGGTATGGTGTAGGTAGCTTGTGAGACATTGAAACACCGCCATGTCACCCAGGTTGTAAAGGAGGGGTGGGGGCGTACAGAAGGAAAAAATTCTAGGGAGGGGCTGGGGTTACGTAACTTATATCATCTGTTCCGCGCTGATCATCGAGTTGCTCGAGCCGGCGCCGTTAACGTCTCCATTTGTCCCTGCGAGGTGCAAGAGTTGCTGGATGGGTTTTCTGTGCTCAAGGGATACGATCTGCATCACACCATTCGTTCAGAGCTTACCAATAAGTCTGACCATCGCGTAGGCGGTCGTCCAGGTGTTCCTAAATCCCGGAATCAGCGGAATCCAGTCAGTGACAGCTCTGGCCCAGCGGTCATCTTCGTAACCGATCAGGTGCGCGGTCCACCTGCTCTCGGACCGGGCAAACGCGGCAGCGTTCCTGATCTTCGACCTTTGACGGTGTGCGGAAGTCCGGTCACCCTCTCTCACTTGTGTACAGAACATCGCTCTTTCGATGGCGCGTTGAATGATGCTAACCGCACGCTCATCCTGCTTTCGCTGAGTCCAAGTCTCCGAGGCGTGAATTAGGGCAGGAAACACCTCGGGATCAAGAGGTAGGCACGGAGCAGGGTGCTCTTCGTTTTTCATTACTCCTCGATGTCTTGAATGCCGCTAAGCCCATGGAAGTGAAGACTGATTCCCAAGCGGCTTAGGGAGCATTCAGAACACTAGGGAATGGGAAGACTTGGGAGTGAACATCGACTGCCGCTTTGCCGGCTGTCGATCTTCACTCCCATGTCTTCCCATTCTAGTTGTCGTATGACGTTCTCGAGAGAGGCGCTGAGGAGGTTGGGTGAGGTGGTTTGCCCTATTCGAATCCCTCTTTACGCCTACGATGATCTCCTTGTGGAATGGTGAGATCCTGGCAGCGCCCATGTTGGGGAGGGCCTGTTGAGCAAAAATTTCCATAACACGCCGTGGATACAGTGGCGAATGGCGCCACTTACCATATGCAGGGTTTGGGGGTCTAATACCGAAAATCCCAGATCAGATCGACTGCCGTCGAGTCAACGCTCCCCTCTGGAGCTACACTCGAAAGCCCTGAGGTCGTGTAGGCGTGGCTGCGTACTTGATTTTGAAATGGCGGCGGCCCAGGTTTTCGTGAGATATTGTCATTTTGGAGCAGTCGTAATCATGTCTACATCTAACACAGAACAAGATAGCAGTTGTTTCAAATTGAAGTATCCCACGAGAAACCCGTCCTATGCCATGCTCAGAAGCCCCGCCTTCTCCGCCTCAGGGATAAGGAGTATAGCTAGTTGGTACCTGACTTGTTTGGAAGGACAAAAGACACTAATCTCCCCAAGCAAGCCATGTCGCATTCCAAAACCAGTGCAAAACTAAATGGAAGTTAATGCGGTTTATTGTGAAAGTACCAGTAACGAATGGGACATTATCACAAGGGTGCTTAGTTATGGTTCAGAAGTCTTGAACTCATCAAGCGGAACTCGAACCTATACCTTAGGCTTATCAAGTAATACCTTTACTAGTATCCATACTCTACAAGTCAACGTCAAAATCATGCCATATCAAGCAAAACTAGTCAATGCTAAGGCTATCATGTTGTACACTGGATCTGTAACAAAATAAAACTCCAAAAGAATAAATAAAATAAAACTCTAAAAGAATAATGAGCTTTATCTTCAATAATTTAGAAATGATCACATTTTCGGTTGACACCCGACCTGACTAATTATTAATTGCTATCACTCCAAAGCACCGACTGTATAGCACACATATCCCTCGAATCGGTAGCAACTTGGGCTAAAGGTAACGACAAATAAGCTTAAAACATACTGAAATCACATCATTAACCCTAGTCTGCGATATCTCAGTACTGAACTGTTCGGACAAGGCACCTTTACAAGGCATACACAGGAACACAGCAACATCTCAATGAGGTACAAGCAACAAAGGGTCATCCCATTTCACGAAAATATCCCTAGTCGTCTGAAATTTCTGCTGATATCGCGGCTTTACCATGGACATCTGCATGTCGAATCGGCGCTGATCAAGTAGCTTTGTCACTGCGTTCTCACACGGACATCTACGACTTCCGCCATCACATTCCAAGTGAATGAGGTGGCCACAGCTGGAATCATCACCAAATTCGGAATTCGTAAAAATCGTAAATCCACTAAAAACATACCTGAAAAGATATGCAGCTTTTGTAACGCCAGACCGACACTGAATACATTCATCCTCGATGAAATCGCCAATTTTCCGAGAAACCAGATTTTGCAGCAGTGACAGCTCTTCAGCACTTTCCTCATCCTGAATACACTTTCTTTAGATACTAAAAAAGCTGGCGCTAAAGGGCCGTAAATTCAAAATCCTCCTGATGAGTAAGAAAAGCCGGTGCTGTTCGGCACTGGGGTGGGGGGGGGGTGGCATTCTGTACCTTCGTCAGTTTCTTTCTTAGTTTATGTCAACTAACAGAACTTGACCTGATCTTTTATCGGACCTGCTAACTTTCGTAAGGCAGCGTTCAGACTTCGCGATAACGCGCGTCGACGCGCTACAATTCAACAGCGCTATGATGCAGTAGACGCGAACGGAGCCGCAGACGAGAATCGATAGTCACCGGTCGCTTGCAAATTGAGAGGGGATGGGGAATAGGAGGGTACGTAGTCCCTAATCACGCAGTCTGGTATCAATCGGCACCGGCCGCTTGTGTGTTGAGAGAGTACAGAAGATTAGGGTGTACCAGATTGCGCGAATGGAGAACGCGAAAAGAGAACCCTCCTGTTGTTTATACTCTCTCTAAACATAAGAGGCCGCCGCCAATCGATTCCTGACTGCGGCTGCGCTCGCCTCAATGGCACTGGAGAGCCCTCGTAGCGCGTCATCGCAAAGTCTGAACGCTGCCAAAGAGCTGCAAAGGGGTATTCTGCGCCACATAGTTTTCGGCAATCTACAGGTCATCACAAGGTGGACTGTACAAGAAACGAACAGTGCCCTTTGGTGGGCCCCTTAAAGCCGAACAGCGCCGAAAATCTAACGGGAATTCGCGGAAAAAAACGGACTCCTGAAAGCACAGGACCAGTAAACTACAAGAACTTACAATGCACATAAGGAGCT